TGTACGATAGAATTGAAGCGAACACAACTGGCCTTCCTTAAAAAGACTTATGTTTAGTTTTAAGTATGTTATGAAAAGTTTTATACAAACTATTAAAAATATATGCTGTTAAAAAGATTTTTAATTTCGTTGATCGTATGAAAAAGGACAAATAAGTTAATTTTAACAGGTGATTAAGGTTCTTAAAAAATGCAGATTATCCTATAGTTTGCATTCAAAATTTTTATTATTATTTTGATGTCTCATTTTTTTTTTCTATTACATATGATAAAACTATTTATTTACTCTTCAACTTACTAGTTTCGTGGAAAGTCATTATAAAGTTGAACTAAAATATTAACATGATTAAATCATTACAAGATTTTTGAACAAGACAAAAACATTCCAAGAATATACACTTTGAAGTATTTATGTTGATTTTTCGAATCGAATATTCTTTTAAATGTCTGACAGACTTCAATTAGTAGGCGTGACGCTATGGATTGTTTGTTTATTTTACTAAAATGATATTTACTTAGGTAATAGGCACCAAATAGCGTCTATTGCTAGAAAATATATGTTCATTAATTAAGAAACAAATAGAACATCCCAATATCAACTAATGTTATTTTAATGTTGATTTAAATTTAAAATATCATGTTAAAATTTTACGTCTAAAATTAAAACGTTACCCTCTTTTCTAAATATTGGGTTATCCTTCACCTTAGGTTTTAATATTGGCTCCGAGTCCGTCAGTGAAGCTGATGAATGGGTCACAATTTTACGACATGAATACAAAACTCTACAATCCTTTGCAGTATTCTCGAACTAATGTGTTTTTACATTCTTCAGTAAAAGATTAGAATTATATTAATTCCATGATTCTCGGGAATCCATTTTTGAAGATAAACATAAAAGTCTTTGTTGTCAGTAATTTATAACTAGTGTAGCATAATGTAATTATTTTATTTACGAAATCTCTTCTGAACGTTTAATGTTTGAAACACAAGTTTTCATGTAAAAATTACATTACAGCTTATAAAATATTTCAACAACGCAAATGCATTATTTGTGCTTGTTTTCACAGTGACTTTGACGAATTTTTCTTTTTTTTATTTGTTGTAGTTAACAACTATACCTTTTTATGAAAAAAACTATTAATAAAAATCTTTCGGTAGATATAAATCACAACATTTATTAGTAAAGTTCGTATAAAACAGCCTTATAATTAAAATTATAACAATGAACAACAATCACTTAAGAGCTACGGAATAAGACTAGATAACGTTACTACCAAGTCACGGCAAATTTGAGATTAAATCATTTCCATGCGACTTGCTTTACTATTGGAGCGGGAAACACCGGAGCAGGGCTGAAGTACTTCGCGTAATGGGGAAAATGGGTCGCATATGGAAGTGCCACCGGAGCTCTTGCTACTGCCACGGGCGCCGGTGCAACAGCCGGGGTAAAATAAGGCGCTGGAAGAGCTGTTGCGACTGGTCTCACGATCGGTGAGAACGGAACGGCTGAGAGAGAGGGTACAGCTCTGAAGATCTGGGTAGGGCCTACAACAGGGACTGGAGGAAGGGCTGGAACTGCAGGAGCTATTTTAG